TTTCTCACCTGCAATAAGGTGAAAAAAGAGAGAAGTTTATTAGTTACGGTTGAAGATGATTTGAGCAAGGGTTTTATGTGTAAACATTTACCCAGCTTTTTCCTTCAAGTTGGCAGTAGAAAGAGGCGGATGTGTATCCGGCGATTCCAGAAGTTAAAGCGTAAATGACCACCAAAGCGGTAAAGAGTGCTCCTCGGTTGTATGGATAAAACACTCCGACAAGAGCAAGCATGAAAATGAATATGGTGCTGATGAGCAGGAAGGAAAAATGAAAAGCTACGGTTAGTTAAAGTAAGAAGAAATGGAAGAAATGCCGCTATGCACGAAAGTGTATCCGGATAGAAAAGTAGTAGAGTTATGAGAGACTTACAGTGTAAACAATTGCGTACCACTACCAAGAGATGCAGCAAACAAAGAATTGTGCGTTGGGAACCTAAACACATCGCCATGAATGTACTTCCATCCAGTTTCCTCTTGGTCATCAGCAGCTTCCTCGTCTTGAGCATACCTTACCAAGTGTTGGAAAAAAGTTCAGATGAGATAAGAAAATGTAAAATAGTTGACGTTGAGGTGTGGCGAGTAACTTGAAACTTACTTCATGAAATCATTCTTGAGGACTCGCATCAAGATAGTTGCAAGGAATCCAGTCAAAAGGAGGACAGTGACGCAGGAATTAATAATGGAGAACCAATGGATTTCCAAGTGATGTGGAAGAGAAGAGGACATTGAGTATTTCTCCATTCTTTTCTCAAAAGGAGTCTCGGTTTCCTTCCACTTCACAGTGAACATAAACTCTGCATTGACTTCCTTGTCCTCAGTGAGATCCACTAGCGAATGAGGATCCATTCTGGCACTGATTTCGATCACACGGTCTTTATTGTATAGAATCTCAAACTGGATGTGTTTGTACAGGAAATATTTGTATTCACTCGGGTCGGATTTGACCTCTTTATCAACCTTTCCAATGAATCCCCAGATAGGAAGATCGTCATAGTACATCTGGAAGTAGTAGTCCTTCTCAACAGCCTTTCTGAACTGTTTGACCTCTTCTTTACTAAGCTTCTTTTTACAGTATACCTCAGACTCTTTTTCTTCTCTGAAGTTGAGCTTGTATGGAGCGCTAACAAGCCGATCACCATTCAGAACCTCTCCAAGAGCTTCTTTCTTCTCTTTCACACCCTCTAAAAAACCAAAATAAACGAGATCAGATAAAAAAAAAGATTACAACAAACAGACATTATCCCATGTCGAATCAAAATAAACATCAAATCGGGAAGTGTTAAATGTGAAAAAAGTAAAAACTTTTGAGCTATTTCAGTTGCAGCCAAGTACAATTTATCATGAAATGCGGTGCAAACAAGAATGCATACAATGCAATACAAAGTCCTGAAGGATATTTACACTCACACAAATCGTGTGATCAATCTAGTAAGATACAGTATATGCATACCAAGGATACAGAAGGGAAGATCGAAATACCGATACGTCTCACTGCAATCATCAATAAACAAAAGCATAATCAGTCATATAGTATTCAAATCTAAAGACAAGATCCATCACACAGACACACACAAATACATTCCAAAAATGTAGTTCTTATTTCACTTTCTGGATTTACATTACACCATTTTGTAGTGTACTCGAATTCCAATGCTTCGATGTTCAATTCAACAGCAACAGATTCATGACCATAAAAAAACGCATGTGAAATCAACGATCAATTTCTCATCCTCAGTTTAGAACCCGATACAAACTCAGATCTGAAGTTCAGATCTAGAAAAAAAGTGATCAAATCTGCGATACGTCAGTAGAATAAGATGTTGTTTACCTTGGGTTGTGAAATGGGCCGACCTTGTTGGCGTAGAGAGGAACGTTGTCTCCTTCTTTGTAACGGTGGTCGGAGGCGTCGGATCTGACATAGCCGGCGCCGGAGAAGATGAGAGCTCCGGCAATAAGGAGCAGCATCGTCGGTGTCCTCATTTGCGTTTTCTCTCCCAAATCGTGAGATCTGAATTTGTTTTTGTTTTTAATTTAGGGAAGAGAAGGAAAAATGGAGCAAATAACGACAATATTTATATACCAGACTTCAATCAAACTCGAGTCAGCTTAACAAAATTTATCATTTTTTTTTTCCTGAGAAAAAATAAACTTTTTACAATTGGGTCAATAAAGTGAAAATACATGAAACAATATTCTCTCTCAAACGTTTATATATGCCTAAACTAAACATTTGGTGCTGTTCATAACTTGGTTGTTAGTAAGCTTTTCTAATTTTATTTTGTAAGAACATCTTAAATAAGTTTTTTTTTTTGAAACTTAACATCTTAAATAAGTTTTTATGAATATGTATATTTTCGAAAATATATGATATGATTTATTTATTTTTAAAGAATAATTACAAAAATATCATTTTTAATATATATATTTTCAAAAATGCCATTATAGATAGTCTATTTTCAAAAATTCCACTAGTTAAG